ACTTCTCGGGGGCTTTCGTTGAACAGAATGGAATCGGCGACTGTAACGCCGACCTCCCCGCGAGGCGACGGGAGGGTGTTGTTTTAGCTTCCCGTGGCAGCAGCGCTTGGCGGAGAGCTCCACCTGCTGCCTGGCGGGACGGGCTGCGCCGGGCGCCTCCCCGTGCGGGGCGCCATGTTCTCGCCCTCGGGGGTGTGCTGTCATGGTAACCGCTCCCTGCCCACAGGTCTGCACGGCAGGGCCTTTGTCAGCAGTTTTTAAGTTGGAAAAAAGCATTAACCATTAGCCTGTTTTAAACAAAGTGCGTGTGAGGTCAGGGAAAGATGGGGAGAAGCCTGAGAAATCAGGGACTTGCGTGGCCAGAAACAACGAGGTTTTCCTTTCCTGGATGTGCACAGGACTGAGTGACGTTTGTAACCTGCTTGAGTAAATGGGTATTTCCACCACCTGGCCCTCACAGTACTTTTTTGCTTCCCTCCCTCCCCCTCCAAAAAAAGTCTAACTAGCTTTATGTTACTGTAGTTAGGTTAATTCCATGTCCTGGCATCAATTTAAACTTGGTGAGTGCTGGAGGAATGTCAAGAGCAAACTGATTAAATTTACCTTGTGATGAGAGAAAGGGGAAAAAAAAAACCAACCTGTTTTCAGTAAGCTGAAAAACTTTGAATAAATCCCAAGGTTCTTGACACCTAGAAATTTAATTTCAAAGATGCTTTGTGAGCTGGATAGACACATCAGCCCCACTTAAGGAATTTGTTGAAGAGTTGGATCACTTCAGATGATGTTGTAATTCTAGTCAGTTTGCCAACTTAACTATTTTCCAGGTTATTGAAAGCTTAGGTGTTTTAGGCTTTGGACACTGATTCAAGAAGCAGTGGGAGTTCTTTGTCCATAGTGGAGGTACAATCACTTACATAATGCTACATTAGGTAGTAAAATCACACATTGCACTGGTAAAATAACTTGTCTTAATTAGGGCAGTACTTGGTTTGAACCAGCAAAAGCGCTGCATTGAAAGGCTTGAAAAGTAACTTTGAAAGGAGGAGACAGTTTCCTGTCTTTCTACTATAAGGCTTTTACTACTGTGCATTTTTCAAATGACAGGTCCGTCACAAGCTGTAAGAAATACATGTATTAATAGATATTAACGCTTATTTTTGATACTAACCAATTTGCCAGAATGCCTAAGTAGCCAGTTTATTCTTTCCTTCAGGTAATTAATGTGTAAAAGCACTAAATAAGTGTAATAAACCAGTGTTTATGTAACTGAACAATGAGCTTGGATGGGAAGTGCATGTGTATGAATCTACAAAACTTTTCAGGAGAAATACCTCTTTTCTCTCTACAGCAGAAATGTTCCATTCCACAATTTTTATTGCCATGGAACAGTGAAGTTGCCTCCATTTTCACTGGAGGGTAGAGGGAGTTCTTGGAGGATAAAGGGGAAAGTATTGACTTGTAAGTTTTATTTGTAGTAGGAAGCATAATCTTTGAGTAAATTGAGGGTAGGCAAAAATACCTGGTGATAGAACCAGATTCTGTCTAAGGCATGGTTTCATGAAATGGTTTGGAACTAAATTGATGGCTTAGTGCTACTCGAAGAGGCTAAGCCGCCTCCATCTCCACTTCCTCTTCTGCATCCACTGATCCTGAGGTGGATGTGCTGCTTGTCTAGTAAGATGATGCAATCCTGTACAATACCAGAATACTAGTTGGGTGAAAAACTGCTCACTTCATGTTAATCTTCCTGCCAAATTTTGTTGAGCCAGCTTAATTTGAACTGCCAAGTGTTAGAACTTGTGCAGAGGAGGTGCAGGAAAACTCTCTCTGGCTTTTACTAATGGTGCATTGTTAATTTGGTTCAGTCATACTTGGAGGGCTGAAGTCTAGCTTTGGCTTTGTTTAATTGCTGGGCAAGTCATGTGCCACCTGTATAGTTTGGTTCTTGCGGCTTTCTCATTCCCTTACTGGGTGTCCAGTTTGAATGAGCGCTTGGCACTCACAGCTGCAGTTTATATGTGCATTAAACCCAAAAATAGCTACATTGAAAAATTGGATGCTGCATACTGGAAATCATTAGGTTTAAAAATACCAGATATATTTGATTAAGTTGAAGTTGGGAGTACCTGGAGTAGGCATAATGCCGTACCAGTTGAATTGTAAGGAAAAGGTTATTAATGTTTCAGAGTGCATTAATATAGAGGGACAGGTAATGCTGGGCTGGCCAGGGCAGTTTATGTTCTAATGAGCTAGACAAAGCGTGACACATACCTAGAACCATTCACTCAAGAGCAGAAGATGAGGGGCTGTGTTGTGTTTTACTTGCGAATACCTTTGTAAAACACACTGCAAATCTCCTGCAGAGTATGGAACACATCTTTGCTTGCATTGGTGACAAGAAGTGGAATTGCACATGGTGTGTTCATCTGAACAAATTGCTGAATTACTGTTTGTTCAGAGAACATCATATCTTCCCTCTGCACTAAATGAATCCATCACTCCAAGGTTGTGACAAGATGCTTCGGAACCAGAGGTGTGCACATGAGCTCTGGATGTGCAAAACACATCATGACTGTAGTTGCTGTATAGTCTTAACATTCTTTGCAGTTCCTCTGTACATGCTTAAATCCTGCTTTGGTGCAGACAACTCAAACTGTAGTCATATTTCTGTTGCAGTTACTTTTTTTTCTGAGAAAATGAGTAGCATCTGATTTCCCTTCTTACAGCGAACTTCTAGTATAACCCTGTTACCTGTGCCCTAAGGCTGGTTGTAAGCTTATTCGCATCTCAAGTATTTCAGACTTTTGACCAGGAAGATGATGGAATTTTTTCTGTTGGATAATCAATTAACAGTAAGTTGTATCTTTAAATAACTTCTTCCTTGCATCTGAAAGGAATTGGTCAAGTTACAAGTGTTGTGGCATTCTTACAGTGTGTCTGGTGGTAGCAGCACTGGTCATGAAGCTTCATGTAGTCAGAGTGCTTAAAGTAGCCTAGGTTAGGTCTAGATTTAAATTTTTGAAGTTTCTTAAAATATTTAATTCAGCTTTTTTCCAACGAGTGGTCCATTTGCAGCAACTACTTTAAGTAATTGGAAAGGTACTGTTGGGATTCATTGTCCCATGCTGTATCTGTAGGAAGATGCGGGCATTCTAGTACACCATCATTTTTTTTTCTGAAATACGTGTTTCTGTTTAAATTTTTCAGTCTGCAAACGTGGAGGCCCAGTGTGCAGGTGTCTCAGAGGACAATACCCATTTGTCAACAACCAGTCAAGGATATGTTTTACCAGAAGGAAAAGTCGTGCCAAACACAGTCTTTGTTGGTGGAATTGATACAAGGGTATTTATATACTTATAATTTTTTGAAGATAGGCATAGGGTACTTCAGTGGGAAGGAAATAGGAATTTAATTCCTGGGTGGCTGTTTTTTATTGTGTATACCTTTACCAATATTAGGGTATTGCAGTGTCATGAGAGAATTTTGGAACAGGTGAGTGACTGTAGTTCTTGGGGTAGTAGAAGATGGCTTTTAGAAAGGGACTGACTGCTTTAAATCAGTTGAATGTGTTTTGGAGAAGTTTAAGCCCTTGTTTCTTACAGATGAATGAAGCAGAAATTCGGAGTTTCTTTGAACGGTACGGTACTGTGAAAGAGGTGAAGATAATCACTGACAGAACTGGTGTTTCCAAAGGGTGAGTGGAACGTGAATAGTTGCTCTAGGCTGCTGCTTATGTGGACATCATAGGTGATACGAGTGGCTACTTAGCAACACACTTGACATGCTTAAGCCTTAGCACGAGCTGCAGTTTTCTGTTGTGAATGAACACTGGAACCTGTAAATCTAGATTGCTTCTGAATTTGAATAAACTTATAAAGAGTAGCCTGAATTTTCTGACTTCAGTCTGTGTTCAGGGAAAAGATGGTTACTGTCACTTTTCCAGTGGAAACAAAGCCTGAAACCTATGTGATGCTTATACGGGCAGGTCTTTTGTAGGACTCTTCTGATGGCTGGTGTAGTTAACAGCAATCTGGAGAGAGTTCAGGATGGTTAAGAGAAGGATAGATAGTTTATGCAGGGCAGTGGGACCACACTCTTCTGACACTTGGGGATAAGGTACAGAGAAAACAAGTCATCTCATTTGGGTGAAGAGTAGAACTGAGGGAACAAAGTTGAAGCAAGGGAAATTCCCATTGAATATATAGAAAGACTTGCGACTCTGTGGTGGAACACTTACATAGGGATGTGTAGAACCTTAACTTTTTGAGTTCTGGGGGCTTTTTTTGAGTTTTGAAATTATCCCTGCTTTGAGAAAGGGGCTTCTCTGGTGGTTCCTTCCAGCTCAGTTTTTTTTTTTCCCTAAGGTTCTATGAGCAGATCCTAAGAAGAGGTTTATGACTTCTTAGGCATAGGTAGTAATGCATGAGCTGGAAATCTGTTTTATTTCCTTAGATCCCTTGTGGGTCTTCATGGTGAATTCTGATGTGCAATTAGCCAGTGTATGTTCAGTATTGATAATGAATTGGCATACTCCATTGGTTGACACAACTGTTCCTATAATGCTCTGGAATGATCTAAATTTTATAGACTAGGTAAACTAGGGGAGCAGTGAAATAAACTGAAAAAACTTGAAGGATCAATTCTGCTGGTGTCAGTGTTCCTGTAATGCCTGCTTTCATCCAAACCTCTGTAGTAAATACAACATTTTATAATAATTCAGATTTTATTTTAATTTTCTGAGTGAGTCATATCAACAGTGGTGCTCATTTTGAGTAGCTGAAGTGGAATAATAGCCCTTACATCTCTTCCGTATTATTCTAGAATCTGGCATTCAGTTTCTTGCCTCTGTCCCACTAGTGTATACTGCTGGTTAGCAGTGGAAATATTTTCATGTTGAATTATAAACTAATGTCCTTCTTGATACTTTTGGCATGCATTGTAATGTACCTGGTGTATATGTTGTTAACTGGTCTTGTTCAAAGTAATTTAGCCAACAAACTAGAATCTGGTTATTGAATAACCTGTTTTTTCTTTTTCAGGTATGGATTTGTATCTTTCCTGGACAATGTGGATGTTCAAAAAATAGTAGAGGTAAGTTCTTTCTCTGGATTATATGAAGATGTTGATATATGAAGTCTGGAGACATTTCCAGGGGAAACCAAGTCATGTACATTGTAGAATAAATTAGGACAAGGGAAAGTCTAGGGCTCCCCAAAAAGTAAGCTTGCTAAAGTCTTTACTGGTGGTAGAATCTTTGTATATTTAAGTAAGAAATGAGATTACTTTTAGCCTTGGCGTGCTTGAATGTCTCATGTTGTGGTATTTCTGGTCGTTCTCATTCATTTATGTGTTGGAAAGCTTCATGCGTTTCTGTCTGCTAGCTTTCTGCACTGGGTGGATGTCACAACCCTCGTGCTAATGGCAGGTGCATAGACCTGTCAGCATTATTTATCACTGGGAATAACAGTACTGTAGGAAACAGCATTAGATTTTTACGTGTGTCTGAGCAGTTGAAGTATGTGTTTCTCTCTTGGCAGTATTCATGCATTTGGATGTTACCCAGAGTGCAAGTGTTCTCTAAGCCTCCTTGACTAAAAGATGCAGGTGTTCACATGTCATGGTTTTCCTGTAGTTCACAGAAGAGATGAAGGCGTAGGACTGTCACAGCCCTTCTGCTCTTAGAGTTCAGTATCAGAGAAGTTGTAAATCTTAGTGCTTACAACCAAATCTGTTATTTAGTTCTGATGGACTTCAGCAGGTCACAAACCACTGACAAAGCTTTCTGTTTTCCTTCTTTCTCCCAAAACTTAGTGTGATAACTGTGAAAATGTATTGAAATATTTCCCTCTGAAGTCTGCCTTGGAAAGCTCCCATGTATCTGAGGATGAATAGTCTCTCATTTGCTTCTGAAGCTCTCAGATAGGGAAGTACATCTGAAAGACAAACCCAGATAAACGTACCAGGCACAAGTTCAGTGTTCTGTGACATGTTCACATGTGTTTACTGGCTGCCCAGCTTCTTAAGGGGGAAGAGACCATGTTTGAACGAAGTGGAGGGCAGTCAAACTCCAGCAAGAGTTTCTTGATTCTCACCAAAACACTTAAAGCTTGCTGTTCTTCAACTCTCATGGTATGCTGACAAAAATACTGCTGTATTGAGCAACAGACTTTTTATCTGAGAATACCCTTTTTTTTTTTTTTTACCATGGGTTGGATCTGTTGTACTAGGTCAGCGTGGAATGCTTGCTCCAGGGCAGCAATCTCTGTAGAGACTTCTTGAGTAGTGCTGTCATTTGAGCCATGTACACTGTTGATTTTCTGTGTGCCTTTCTCCAAAACTAAAGCTCTCCGTGATCTCTTCATATAGTACTAACTGATGTGACTTTGGGTCCTCCAAGGCCCCTGGTTTACAGGGGTATATGGCAGATTTCAGGTGTACAGGCAGTACAAATTACTACCTTGTCAGGAAGAAAGCATGTCCAGGTAGAAAAGCGGCTCACTTCTGTGGGGAGTGGAAAAAGGGAAAGAAGAAACACCATGCATTTAGAGCTCAAGTCAGAAGCAGAGATTGCCTCACTAGGCCATTTCGGGTGTTACATGTCCTGAGTCATCAGTCTTTCATGGTAGTGAACAGGATGGTGTCTCTCCGTGGTTGGAATTACTCCAGGTGCCTGTGTCCCTCTACCTGGCTCTGTAGCAAGGTGCACCCTGAAAGTCGTTTGTCTGATTCCATTTGTAACTGCACTCTAGTCCAGAGTGAAGCTGTTGGTGATTCTGAGCTGCAAGCTACCCTGTGCTTTGAGGGGAGGCCTGTCTTCCAAGGGCTCTCATCGCTCAGGCGGTAAAGGTGGCTGCATGGTTCTGGGCACAGCAGGATTACAGGATCAAAATAAACCCACAAAACCACCCAAAAAAACCTCACCCCACACAAACTATCAAACTCTGCGTGGTATTTCACTCCCCCCCCGCCATGTGTTACTTAATTACATTTTTATCAGTATGAGGTGGTGATCAGGTAAGATATTTCTTAGCATTTTTTGCTTATTTTGACCCTCAACAGCAAAGCTGCTGTTAGCTGCTCAGAGCACTTTCTTTCGCAGAAATGGGAGAAGCACGCAAGGTGTCTGTTAATGCGAACTGTGTCTGTTTTCTTCTGAAGCAGGCAAGTCCTTTGTGCTGAATGAGAGAGAGTCTAGATAGGTTGTATCTGCATCTGATGCTGATTTTAATGCTTGGTACCAAACTTGTATTAACTGGGGTAAAACAAAGTTTCACTTCTGATGTGTAAAGCACTTGTAAATGTCAGTGTAGCTTTCTCCATGTAAGAGCTCCTACTTTAGGTGGGGTCATGTGTGCTGTACACACCTTTGTAGGTAGGTAAACATGTTTCTTGTCACCATGTCAGCAGAGGATGCGAGATTAGACCCAGAGTTGGGGAGTTTTGCGTGGAGAAGTTCCTGAGTACCTCGAACATTAATATGCTTAAATCTGTCTACTAAAGCATCTTTCTGTGCTCCAGACTTAGCCTGTAAGATTTTGGTCTTTGCAAGATTACAATTTCTTGCGTACAGTCAGTACAAATAGACCATGAAGTGTAAGGATGTTGTGGTGCCTTGTCAGCCTACATCCGTGGGGTGAACATTCTAGTTTTGAAACTAAGCAGTTCCACTGCAGAACATGGAACTCGACTCTTGCAGGGAGTGAGGGTGCTTGAAATTCAGTGTTCCATCACTGAAAGTCTGAAATCCCGCCTTCTGTGTGCACCAGCGTTTGGGCAGAACTTGCAGAAGGAGAAGTTACAAGTCGTGGGCATTTGCTGACTCCTGGGCAGTGCTTCCAGCCTGGTTTTGCAGGTGTTTGAGATGCTCGTATTCCTGGGTCGGGGTGTTTGAGGAACACGTGACCCATATTTCAGTTTCACTCGTTCTTGATTAGTCTGTGTGCTGCGTAGGTGCTTTGGCCAGAAAAGTTGTGAAACTGCAGCATGTTTGTTGGATGTTCTGAAAGGAATGTGAAAGTTTAGAGGTAACATAAGAGCGGTGTTTAGAGAGCCTTCCATTTCCTCTAATATTAAGGGGGCAGCTTCTAACACGTTACGTGAAGCCCCTTAGTAGGGTTGTGGGAAGGAAGCTAAGTGGCAATGTAAACAAGGTTTCAGTGAACCCAGGCTATGGTCACTCTAAAGTCAATAACCTTACTGAGGCAAGAATAGGTGCAATCTGTTTATAATGCCAGAAGGCTGACAGTCAGTAATATGTAGTTGCAAACTACTAGTAGTGCATGCTGCTATTAAGGTAAGTGATACGTAATAGGTTTGGGGAGTTGGTCAGTTGGCAAATGGGTGTGTGGAGAGCACTGCAGGAAGCTAAAGGCATAAGGTGTAGAGGTGAGAGGAGAGCGGAGGCTGGTGAGCCTGCGTGGGAGCTGATGATGCTCTGGTGTAGAAGCAGGGTATGGTCTCTTTAAAACGAGACAAACCACCCACCTCACTGATTGCCCAGCTTACAGAATAACCCGTCTTCCTTTCAGTCACAAATCAACTTCCACGGCAAAAAGCTGAAACTGGGGCCAGCAATTAGAAAGCAACAAAACTTGTGTAAGTATATAAGCCAATTTGTTCATATTATGAGTATATATTTTGGATTTTTTCTTAATTACACATTAATATCCTTGCAAGTTGTTTTTTCTAATGTAATATGTATATTACAATTAAACTTCAGAACTGAATGTTATGACCTCACTACTTCTGTGATGTACAGGTTTTTTTGATAATTAACTCAGTTTGGTAGCACAGGACTGTTAATTTTGAGATAAAATCAACAGTCAATACACTTAAGGCGCTTGCAGCTTAAATTCAGATTGCTGATGAAATACTTGTGAAAATGTCTTAATCTTTGTTTTTCTTTTGCTTTGAAACAAGGTTCTTATGTGCATCCCAGACCATTAGTCTTCAATCCTCCTGCACTCCAGTTCCATAGTGTATGGGGTAATCAGAATACAGAGGCATACATGCAGCCTCCAGCTGTAATGAGCCCAGTAACACAGTATGTTCAGGTAAGGCCGTTCATGCCACTGATTTTTTGAATCATAATGTTTTTGAAGGTGCAAGCACATAACACTTAAGGAATATCTATTGAGATTTCAAGCTTAGCTTAACTGCTTGTTTTCATATCGCCTTCCCAGTAAGAAGCACCTGACTTCAAGCTACTTTAAAAGAATGCCAAAACTTTGAAAAATATATTCAGTGATGTGATCTCTTTATAAAACAAAAGGCAGGGAGATTCTTTTTATTTTGAGAATGAGAAAACTTGAAGGTGGAGCTAAGGTTTAATTATATAACAGTTCTTCAGGATCTTGTTACTTGTTGCAGATGCGCTACATATATCAAATGCATCTGGATATCCTATACACTGCTGCCTTGCCTCAGAATAAACCACAAAGTTTAAAATGTATTTTTTAAACGCAGACAGAAACAGAAGTTGGCTGTGGTTTTGCCCCCCCCAGCCCAGCAGGACAAATTCTTGTTCCTGAACTGCTGTTGTGTCTTCAAGAACACACTGTGTGGATGGCACCTGTATCACTTTGTTGGTACTTCAGATAAGTGTTCTTAATGAGGTGTAGGCAGAGTACTTCTGGCCTCCTTGAATAGGAGTCTTTCCACATGATGGTCTCTTCCTGTAAAACACTACATGATATGACAGTACAACAGGGTGATGTTAACTGCAAACTGGTTCGTATATTGAGTAAATGAAGATGGGCTGCCTGCAGTGACTTGCAGAAATACTTATTTCCTAAGGCAGAGAATGTGACAGGAGTACTCTTGCTGATTCTCAGAGTTTATTGGGAGAGTGAAGTAGTGTAGGAGGAACTAACTCTCTTAAATGCTGGAATATGCCTTCAGCTCTGGAAAAGCTAAGAAGGCTCCAAGTTAACGCTGTCAAAACACTTGCAGTGGAGAAATGCTGGGAAATTGTCTGAATTGTAGTACATAGCTTACCTTCAGCTCCATAAACTGATCTTCAGGCTGTAGTCCATTATCAGGGTAGTTGGTCTGTTTGAGGTCGACTTTAGAAGGCTTACGGGATGAGTTGTGAGCCTGAAATGACTTAAGATCAGCTACAAGCAAATGTGGGATTTTTAGATACGTAATACACCGCAGAATCCCACTTTCTAGATATTTTTTTTTTAGTGCCTGAAGTGCTGAAGCCCCACGGGAAACCTGTAAGGGTTGCTTTAAAATAGAAAGCTGATGTGAAACAGTAATTGGAATAACAATGTGACTACATATTTCTAAAAATGTGCTCCTGGCTTTATAAACACCTTTGCAAATATCATGTGTTTGTTTTGCCTGAACTTGCGTGTTTTAAAAAAAGCTTTATTTTGCAGACATACCCCTACAGTTCACCAGCCTTTTTGATACAGCAGCAAGTTCCTGTAGGATATCAGCCAGCCTACAACTATCAGGTATGTTATTTCTTCAGTAGCTGCAGAAAGGCTGGTTGGATACCAGTTGGAATCTGATCTTCCTGGGTTTCTCTTTCTGTGAATTATATTACCCTTCAGCTCCTGCTTCACAGAAGTAAGAAGTGAAAACAAAATCAGTGATATTTTTATTCTAATGCAATAAAAACTGCTGAATAACTTGGCATACTCTTTCTTGGTTTAATTTTTTTAATATGCAATGATAAAACAACTTCAAATTAGCAAAAAGTACATGGGTCAGTAGTACTTATTCTTGTGGGAAGAAGCTTTGCCATGGTGCAGGTAGTTAATGTTAGTTACTTAACACAGAAAAGCTGAGTCTTATCAGACTATAAATGTGGAATGTGTATAGAGAAAGGATGTGTTCTTGAGCTTTGAAAGTGTCTGGGAAGGCACTTAGCTGATTGTGAGTTTTTGAAGTGAAATTAGTGAGTAAGTCCTGTTACTGAAAGTGAACTAGAATTGTAGAATCATAGAATGGTTTGGGTTAGAAGGGACCTCAAAGACCATCTAGTTCCAACCCCCCTGCCATGGGCAGGGACACCTTCCACTAGACCAGGTTGCTCAAAGCCTCATCCAGCCTGGCCTTGAACACTTCCAGGGATGGGTCATCCACAACATCTCTGGGCAACCTGTGCCAGTGCCTCACCACTCTCTCTGTGAAGAATTTCTTCCTTATATCTAATCTAAATCTCCCCATTTTCAATTTAAACCCATTACCCCTTGTCCTGTCACTACAGGCCCTTGTAAAAAGTCCCCCCCAGCTTCCTTGTAGCCCCTTCAGGCACTGGAAGGTGCTGTAAGGTCTCCGCCTTCTCTT